TGCGGGAGGCTGAGAGAATTCACCAGAGCCAGAGCGGGGAGCAGAGCAGGCAGAAGGACCAAAGTACACTGCTGAGGGGAGCAGTGGGTGGCAGGAGAGGTCTGCGCGCCTTGTGGGACCCTCCTCCGGTGGCCGGGGAGCAGTTGGGGATCCAATCGGGGCTGCCTGAGGCTGCGGACAGCTTCGCAACCCAGCGCTCAACCGCTGCGCCACCGGGGAGGCCCTATTATAACTTATTTTCAATCAGAAGTAGACTACTGGAGAAGGTGATATTTAAATACATGACTTTAAAAACTGGCTTTGCAGTTTACAAATCATGGCTCAAGCTAATAAACTTATATACTAATGCCTAACCCATACAATATCAAATTTTCTTCTGTCCTATGACTCATCTGAGAGCTCTATTCACTTGCCATCAATATCGCCTATCCTGTTACAAGACCTTGTCATCACCTAGAAATGTTTCACCTCTGAAATTTTGAACTTTGAAATTCAACTCTGATCTCAATCCTCCACCCTTCCCTCCTTTACATCTTTACCCCACCCATCTTCAGTCTCACCAAGGCAGGCCTTCAATCTCCCCACCTAACAGCCCTCAACCCTCTTGGCTTTAAGGACACATTAAGGACACTCTCATCATTAGACATAACCCCCTTCCTCCCTTGACCTGCTGACACAGTCAACCAACACATCTTTACTTTTGGATTCATTTATCCATTTTCTTTGAGTCTTGAGTATTACTGGAGAAAATCACATGATCATGCAGGCAGCAGCTTGTACAAAATTTGAATTTCTAACTTCAACTGGATAATCAGGACCTGCAATTCTTTGGTCCATTCTAGTTGGTTCCCTTACATAATCTACCTGAACCACAGGGGACTGCCTAATGCAAATCACAGATACTAAGGGCAGAGCCAACTACTCAAAAGATATTTACATGTTAATCACCCCCTTGTATACAAAAATATAAAAATAAAAAAATCACCCCCTTGGATTTCAAATGAGCCAAACTTTCCCCATCCTGGGTATGTTTTTCATTTATTTTCATTTTATCTTGCAGATTTGAGTATAGACTACTTCTTGCAGTAAAGAATTACAGACACATTGGAGAATGTGAGATAATCACAAAATATTACTATGAACTACTGTGTGCCAGGGGCAGATAAACAGCAATGAACAAAATAATCAGCTCTACCCTCTGAGAATCTATATTTTAGTAGCAAGGGTCAGAAAGCAGGCAAATCAGTAAAATGTCTACTAAGTCAGAAAGTAATAGGTGGAACTACAGAGTCCTGGAAAGGTTGTGGGAGTATGGGGTGTGAGGTGTACTGTGGAGAGGCTGATCCATGTACTAGATACAAGTATGATCATGGGTTCAAATCCCAGTTTGGGCACTTATCACAGTGTGACCCCAGGCAACCTCTCTGCGACTTAGTTTCCCTATCTGAAAAATGAAGGTTTCCACAGTCCCAACTAGAATTCCTATAAGGATTAAACCACTTAATATACACATAGTGTTATATGATAGTAAGCACTACATAATTGTCAACTATTTTACTTTAAGTAGTTCTCTCATACTGCCCCTTGCATGCACAAGCATGCACACACACAGACACAGACACAGACACATTCACACGCTCTCACAGCCCATGCTCCAGAGGCAAAGAGAGATTCACCATAAAGAGAAAGCCCTCATTTGGAGGAGCCCTTCACTCCAGGCCTTGAGAGAGGCCCTAGCAATATTCCATGTGGTGCTTTTGTCAAGACTGCAAAAGTAAGATATTTTAATCACAGTTGGTTAAGATGCCATCTGCTTCCATATGCTTCCCTTGTGTCAGGTAGCATCATGGGCATTTGGAGATCTAGCTAAGAGAAGTTGATCTGGATTCATATTGAGTCTGGGCTTAGAGTGGAATAGCTATGTGGTTTTTTCATTTCCATATCGAGTTCCATATTGCTGGTCATCCTGGGGTAGCAGCAGCTCCCAGGACACTGTGCCATAGAAGTGGGGTAGGGTATTATATGGGAATGTGTCCCTTAGAGCTTGATAGCAGAGGCACGGGGTTAGAAGGAGAAAGGGGTTAAATGTATAGAACCAGACATTAGACTGTAGAAAGTTCTTATAATCCTCTAATGTATACAATTGTCAGTAGAAGATTTGGTTCTCAGGGCATAGTCAAAACAGCAGCCAGTCACTGTCAGGAACATACTAGATAGTGCAGGACTTATAATTATAAATACATTTTTATGGACTAAATGTTTGTGTTCTCCCTCCACATATTTATACATTGAAGTCCCGACACAATGTATTTGGAGGTGAAGCCTTACAGCACAAACATGCTATAAATGTCATCCTTGATTCTGGCTGCCCCACTCCCTGCCTACCTCCTTTGAAGAGGCTTCATGACTTTCCTTCTCCCTCTCTCCCCATAAAATGTTTTGAAATAGAAGACTTTATATACATACAGCTTCTCCTTCTCTATCTATCAATTTCCTGGGAACTGGTTTCTTGCAGTTTTGGGGAATGTCCCTGAGAGTCACCATTGCCTGTCTCTATTGCTTTTGCTCAGTCCTCATCTGAACTGACCTCTCTGAGGGGTAGGATAATTTAGACATAATTGTCCCCTGCACCCTTCCCTTCCTGGCTCCCCAAGGCCAATTCTCCTATCTGTCCTCTCACCACTGACCCTTGCTATCACCTCTCTTTCCCAGGCTCCCTTAGACCCCGTGTTCCCCAGGCTCCTGCCCAGACTTCTTGCCTTCCCATCTCACATGTGCTTCCTGGGTATGCTTCTAGATTCTGTAACAAGCCTATACCATTGGTCGAATGGAGATTTCTATCCTGTGGTTACTTTTTTACTATATATATTTCCAACTTTCCACTGGAAAGCTCCAATTGCTTGTCCTATGGCTCCTCACACTCAGCATCTGCACAGCTAAGGACCTTCATCACTGTTCTCTCCAAGCCTCTCCTCCCTCTGTGCTCTCCATAGTGGAAAGTGTCACCATCAACCACCTAGTCAATCCACCAGGTATTCTTGGAATTGCATTTTCCTCCTTCCCCCTTCAATCATGGACAAGCACTATTTATTTTACCTTTAAGTCAGGTGTCCTTAACTTTGCTTTATGTCACAAGACCTCTTGACAGCATGGTGAAGACTTTGGATTATTTCTTAGAATAATACTTTGTAATGCATTACATAAAACACAAAGGATTACAAAGGAAATTATTTGTTTGGAAATACAGTTTCCAAAATTATAAAAGGTTTTGATATATATAATTAATAATGCACTGATTCAGCATTAAATATTCAGTTCCAGTGCCAGGTCTAATTACCATCATTTTAACATCAGAGATATCTACAACTGAAATGTGATAACGAAAAGTTTGGTTACTCTTGGTGACAAAGTCACAGATATTGCTAATGTTACCATAGTAATTTCCTTATATCTATAATAGAAGAATATGATAACTTTTAGTAAGTGAAAAAAAGATGTAATATTTTTCCCATACAAGTTTACAGACTCCTGGGGCTCCATTCAAGCCAAGAACGCCTGCTTGAAAATGATCTCTGGCACTTACCTCCTCTTTTTCTTTTTTTTTTTTTTCTTTTTTTTTTTTTTTTAAAGGGAATAGTCTTTTTTTTTTTTTAAGATTTATTTATTTATACATGCACTGGGTACAGTCAGAAGCGCGGGAGGGTGAGAGAATTCACCAGAGCCAGAGCAAGGAGCAGAGCAGGTAGAGGAACTGAATTACACTGCTGAGGGGAGCAGCGGGCGGCAGGAGAGGTCTGCGCGCCATGTGGGACCCTCCTCAGGTGGCCGGGAAGCAGCCGGGGATCGAACCAGTGCTGCAGAGGCTGCGGGCACCTTCGCAACCCTGCGCTCAACCACTGCGCCACCGGGGAGGCCCTTGCCTCCTCTTTTTCATCCCTCGTGCCACTGACCTAATTGGAGTCTCATGTCCACATGGTCCCCTCTCCCCGCCCCAAGCCTGCTCTCTTTGCAGAGCTCCCAGCAGACCTGAGAAGAGCTGTTCTCCATGCAGTCAGCTAAGCCAGAAGCTGAGCTTCAGATCCTTTCCACACTCCACTGTGGACAAAGACTTGTGTTCACATCTGCCCTGACTCCCTCATTTCTCCAACAGATGCCTCTAATAGCCTCCTCACTGCTGCCCTAGCCTTTCCTCACCAACCCTTCTTCCAGAGGCACACATCTATCTAAAACCCTGGTCTGATTACCATGCTTCTTTGTTTTCAATCCTCTCAGCATTTTTAGGATAAAATTCTGGCTCTTTAACACCCTGTGGCTCTTCCCCGTCTTTCCAGCCCAGCTCCTGCAGCTGTGTCCCAGCTACTCCTTAAGTCTTGAGTCACCCAAACTGCAGGTTAAGCGGGGGATTAGAAAGTAGACTGCCTCAGTTCTACCACCCACTAACTTCCTGGCCCTGGAAAATCACACTCTGTGCTTCAAGGACCTGGATTTTCCAATGAAAGGAATACCTGGCCCATAGGATTGTGAGAGCTAAGTGATATGACACATGTGAAATGTTAGGAACAGGGCCATGATGTAGAGAAAAACTTAATTGCAATGCAGTCTTACTCTTACTTCATTTCTCCTTCATGGGGAATAGCTTTTCTCCTGTTCTCTGCTGGACCAACTAGTCCTTTAAGACTTGGCTGAGGCATCTCTTCTTCCTGAAGGCCTTCCTGCTCTGGATTGGAGAGGCTGGGCTCTGGGCTCTTTGATCCCTGCCCCTCTTAATAGAAAAAGCATCCTTTAGCTGTGACCCCCACAAAATATATAGTCCTTTAGGAGGATCGTGACTCACTCCCTTTGTAACTTATGAACTGCCTAGAGTTAGGCACAGAACAGTGTTTGGCAAGTGCTGGGAGGGTGAATGTATTAAAAGGAGAAAACAAAATCAAAGGACAAAATGTTACAATAAAGAGGTGCCAGTTTCCTTCCAAAGTGCCTTTTCAAAGTATTGTAAATACCTGGATTTATCTTACTGTTTTTCTGAGTGGTCCTGTCTGCACCGAGTCCTTTCCTGGCCAATTCTTGGGCCTGATAGCATCATGCTTCTGAAAAAGACAGGGATAAAGGAGAGAGGAAGCTAGGGAGGGGGGTGGGGTAGGGGGAGGCTGCTGGGAGGAGGAAGGAAGCCCTCCCTTGCTCCTCAGGAAGCAGGTACCCAAGGACTCGATAGCCTATTAATACTCTTTTAACAAAGGAGACTACAACACTAGGAGCAAAAATTCAAGTATCTTTTAAAAGGCACTACACGGTAGAGAAAAACTGCTGTGTGGAGTCCTGGCTGAGGGTACCTGGAAGACAGCACTGGCCCTGATTTTAGTGAGCGTGGTCCTCACTCCTCTTTTTTAACATTGCAAAATAAATCATTTCTCAGGAAAGGATTAAATAATACAGAGAGTGGAAAGTAAAAAGGCAAAATTGTCTCATTCCTTGTCCTACTCCTCAGGGGTCCCCTCTGTTTCCATGCAGATATTAAAACACCCATAGGGACACCCAGGTCACATGTCCAGTAGGATTCCAACTGTGCTCAAAAACACGCACAAAATTATGCCTAGATTTTCCCAGAGAGGCATACTGGGTAGATATACTACAATAAACACATTTTAAAAAAAAACTGAAGAGGGCCTCTCCTGGTGGTGCAGTGGTTGAGCTCTGGGCTGTGAAGCTGCCGGCAGCCTCTGCAGCGCCAGTTTGATCCCCGGCCACCGGTGAGGGTCCCACATGGCGAGACAGACCTCTCCTGCCATGCCCGCTGCTCCCCTCAGCAGTGTATTTCTGGCTCTGCTGAATTCTCTCACCTTCCCGCGCTTCTGACTGTGCCCAGTGCTTGTATAGATGGATGAATAAACCTTTACAAAAAAAAACAAAACTGAAGACATTATTTAAAAATGTAACAGGGGGCCTCCCTGGTGGCGCAAGGGGTTAAGTCTCAGCACTGTCAAGCTACCCGCAGCCACTGCAGCATAAGTTCCATCCCTGACAAGGAAGGTGACCCACATATAGTGCAGAAGACCTCTCCTGACTTGACTGCTGCTCCCCTCAGCAGTGTGTCACTCTTCCTGTTCTGCTCCCCACTCTGTCTCTGGTGAATCCTCTCACCCCCCACACCTCTGTCCTGTATCCCAGTTCTTGTATGCATAGATAAATAAATCTTTAAAAAAAATAAAAATAGAACAATACAAGGAACGCTTTTTATTAGAGGAGGCCTGGGGTGTAGGAGAGGAATGGACTCGGTGGGCCTTGGTGTTCAACTCCGGACTGCTTGGGACTCTGTTCTTTGAATTGGTTCCTCAACTCCGAGTTAGGCCCCGCAGGGACCAGGTGACCCAGGGCCCAACATTTCAACATGAGCAATAAAATGAGGCTGCCTTTCCTGGGTCCTGGAATTGTTTGGTTTCAAAAATGCCCATATTTGGGGTTTTGGTTGGGAAGGGGGCAGCAAGCAGCCTCAGGGTTGGGCCCTGAGGGCTTCGAACCAGCGGGGGGAGTCCAGGGGGGAGGCAACCTTCCCCACCCTGTCTTTAAAGCTGTCACCTGTCATCCAGCGCTGCTGCTGCCCAACGAAGGCCCAAGGAAGCGGTGCACCTGGAGGCCAGGGCTTTGGAAAGCAGAGGCAACAGCTGTGCGTGGGAAGGCCGAGAGCAGGAGGGCAGCCCTGGGTGAATCTAAAAATAAAACCTGGCCTGACAGCCTAACAAAGGCCACTGTGGGGCGCAGCCAGAGGGGCTGCCCTGGCTGCTCCAGGAAGGCTGTTCTGGGGCCACGTGGGGAGCGAGTGGAGACCCTCCCTCTGTCTGTCTGTCTGTCCCTCACTCTGGTGTATCATTCCCCAACACCCACTTGGGGTGAACCAGCCTGCCCTCAGTAAACAGCCCCTTCAATCGCCATCCCAACCCCCGGCACCCCATTTCACTGGCACCTCATTTTAGGGTTTAAAGAATTGGCTGCGGTACCTTTGTTCACTAAATTTGCCTGCAGTGAAAGGAAAACGGGTACCGAGCCCCATGTTCTTGAGTTTTCAGATAGGCACTGATGAGACAAATCCGTTTTGGGGAGGAAGAGGAAGTGCCGCTGTGTCCCCCGTTTAAAAAGGAGCCCTTGGAAACCAGCTCGCAGAACAAAGCTGTCAGCTCGGCCCACAGGGGGTCCCCCCACGGGGCTCCTCGTTACCTTCTGCGCCGCGCTGAGCCTGCTTTCTGTGCCCGAGGGCTGGAGTATCCGGCTGCGCTCCCCGGACTTCTACGTGGACCGATCGGAAAGTCTCTTAGCTTGAAAATGATCAAACTCCTAAATTAATGAAAAAAAAAAATTGTCAAGAGAAAAAGCAAAACCATTTGGGAAATAATATTAAGCACTAACTGGGAACAGAAAACATACGCTGGGAGGGTAATTCTTTGAGTGTTTAATTCCAAAGATTTTAAAAAGTGTTTATGTTTGGTTTAAATGACTAAACAGCCGGAAGGTCCAGATTCAAACTTTGGGGCTCAAAGACGTTATCATTGTTTATGCTCCTCGTTGGCTCATTGCTGCCCCCATGCGTCTGATCTAAAAATCACAGCATAGACCTGTCTGCCCTGCAAATAATTGGTGGAAACCACCCAGCAGTCTATTAGCTCCCGTGACAAAAACTGTACAGAATTAAAGCAGCGTTTTAGCTTGTTAGTGAGAGCTGTATATCCCCAATGATTTTTCAATAAGTCTTTCATTTTAGACGACATCATTATATGGTCCGTTTCTCTCTTTGTTGCTGTTCATTGTGCCTTTGGTTAAGGGGTGGATTTAATCCTTAGAGGAAGGAGTAAAACTTACATTTGCAAGGTAAGCCCTACTAATGGTACCCCCTTCCAGTGAAACCACATGACTTATTCATTGAGGTGCATAGATTTTATTTCATATTTTATAATAAAAAGACTACATTCAGGATGACTGAAAGTTTACACAAAGAATCTCTGAAGTGAGCTAATTTCTGATATGTGTTTCAAGTAAATTTACACATCAAAGTACAACCTCTTTTGTTCCCCTCTACCTTTGTCTTCAGCAGCAGACTGGTTCTCCATTTTAGTGTGAGACTAGGCTGTCTCTATGGATTTGTATTAAGCACTCATTCTTCCTGTTTCTTGCTCATCCATGTAGTTAGCAATCTGAGCTGCTTTTTGCTCTATAGAAATGGGACAGCACAGAATATCATGCCCCAGATGGAATTTGAAAAGTGACTTCCATTCTGAATAGATCAAGGGGCTGCCCTCTTATGCAGAAAGGTTATAGCAAGCTCTTCTTCAGCATTATGGGCACAGGGGAAATAGCCACCTCCTTCTACTCACCAGGATCTTTCTTTCCTGCAGAGGCAGCGTTGGTGTCACTGTCCAATGTCACCTGCTAGAGCCACCTTCTGTGATTCCTGAGTGCTTATCTTTGGATCTTATTGATCTGTTACTCTTCTGTCCAAAATGGCCCTGAGGGAGAGGCTTTACCTCCTCCAAAGCAAATAAACAAATTCCGTTAAATTCAATGCCCACACAGGACCCCATGGGGGGAAGATTCTCTTAAATCCAATGCCATGACTGCTTCCAAAGGACAGCTATGGAGGGCATGGTCTGGAAGGCCAATCAGTTTTACTGAAAGGAGAGAAACTGGTGGAGTGCTCGTTGTGTTTCATAATTCCTTTTGTTACCTGTCAGAGGCTCCTGCGAACTAGGTCATGACCAGCTTTATCACCCTGCAAAGTAAGGCAGATATTATGAGATATAAGCTGAATTTCTGGGTCATTTAAAATTGCTCTTGCCAAAGTTTTTCCTGTATTTCTAGTGATAATCCAGGTTTGTCACCTTTGTAGACATTTAACTCTAAGAGAGAAGATGACTTTCAATATCTGCAAAGGTATCTGAGAACCTGGGGAGCAGGAGTTCCCGAATTTCTACAAGGAAGGAACTTTGGGGTGACTGGTTGAATGCAGGGGTTGGAGGATGTTTTGAGGGTGCATTTGCATTCGTGTACACTGAAATTTCGATTGTGTGTTTGAGGTAGCTCTGGGGTCTGTGACAAAGTTGCCAATTGAACTGCCATTGAAGAGAAGCAGTTGGTCATTCCATCAGTTATTCAAATAATAGGCTCTTTCTAAATATATAAACTGGGTGTGAAGAGTATAATCCACCCAGGTTGATGCCTCTTCAAAGAGCAAAGGACCTGGGATGGTTAACAATTTTAGATGTCTCAGAGTGGGGGTGGAGGGCAATCGCACCAAGTCTGCAGGCTTGCAGTTCAGCCTGGAGGGGTTCCTGTATCTATGTGGCCTCAAGAGGAAAGAGTAGCTTCCATTCTCAGATAGCTTATGGTGCAAGATAGCTGCTGGAGAAGGAGCATTTACATTTGTATTCCAGGCAGCAGAAAAAAGGAAAGCCTGTCTCTTTAGGGACATTTTTGGGAAGTCACATATGTCACTTTGTTTGTGTTACGTGGGCACAACCACCTGAGAGGGAGACTTGAAGTGGTCTTCATCGAGATAGGTGTATGCCACCTAGGATATGATAGTCCAAGGGCTGTAAAAGAAGAGAGCAAAGATTGGGGATTATTTTCAACATTCTCTTAGGTGATACTGGTGCTGCCAGTTGATGGAGCATGCCTTGTGGCGAGGGACATGACTCTTTGCAGGACCTGGCCCAGTCTACTTCTCAGCCTTTGTCTCCTGTCTCTCCCCCCTCACCCCTCAGGCCTCAGTTATACCCGCCTTCACACTGGGTCTTGAACAGTTGCAGCATGCATTCCCACTTGGCCAGCTATGAACTTGCTGTTCCCTCTGGGTGGAATTCTGTTCTCAAAATCTTGTGATTAAGGTCTCAGATAAAATAGGTCTTCTGTGATGTGATTTAGTTTTAACAGCATTTAAACTATTTGCACTCTGCAGCATGAGATTGATCTCTGGCCACATGGTGCAGCAGACCTCTCCTGACTTGCCCACTGCTCCCCTTGTAACAGGGTGATCCCTATAACACCCTCAGCAGTGTATTTCAGTAAATCTGCCTGTTCTGTTCCCCACTCTGTCTCTGGTGAATCCCCTCAATCCCTTCCCCTGCACCTCTGGCCTGTACCCCAGTTCTTGTATGCATAAATAAATAAATCTTTTAAAAAAATAAAAGTACTTAACAAATAAGTTTAATATATTTTTGTGGAATTTAGAGTCCCTAAGTACAATATTAATTCTTGAGATCATGGGGACATATCTTATATTTCCACTTTGCATAGAGAAGGAAACTCACAAAACTCACATGGTAAAAGGTAGGGAAGGACAGGGTTCCACTTTTGCACAGGGTGTGATGACCATACTGACTTGGGAATTTGGCTTGGGGGAGATGAAAACAGGCTGGTAGACTCTGCCATAGGCCTCCATAGTAGAACTCTCAGCCCTTTTTCTTGCCCTGGGTTCTTCTTTCTCCTCATCATGCAGTCCAGAATTTTGGAGATGTGAATCAGAAGATGCTAGAGAGACCTATAGAGAATATATGTGATGAGGGATTGGAATTTTGTGGCACTGGGCAGGTTGCTGTACAAGTTTAAGTTTTCCATTACTTGTTCCTGGAGCTCCAGCTTTGTGTCAGGTATTCTGCTAGGTGTTGGGGCCACACGTGACCTGCAAGGTTTGCCATTTTGTTCCAAATGGGACAAGTGACACGGAACACAAGTATCCTGATTCATGCCGTGCTAAGTTAGACTATCACACCTTAGACGCTCTGGCCCTTTTGCTCAAAAATTCTTTAGCAGGTCACCTCACAATGTTACTCAACACTCACCTCTGGATTAATGGGTCAGTGTTTGCTAAGTAATTTGTGACTGCTGTGTTGGAGAGTTCCCTTGGGAGATTCTCTCCTCTAATGCTCAGCTGGCAGGAGAGGGAAGAGCACCCCTTGTCCCCCTCACACATTCCTTTGTCTCTCACACTGCAAGGAAGGGAGGGAGCCTGTTGATGAATCAAAATTTAATTCCTTCGGGTTGACAGTGCAACAGAAGAGGCCTCTTAATACACTTGTGTGTGTATTAGAATTTATTAGGAATTAGACTTTGATGTTAGTCTATAAGCCATGAGGCTGCTGATTGTCTTTTTGAATGGAGACAAGCACAGATGCCTAGCAACCTGACAAAGACAGCATCAAATATATTCATTAATAAATAATATCAATACTGTGCATGTGTAGCCTGAAATTTTTTGAACTTCAAAGAAGAGCCTTCATATCTATGATCTCATTTCACACTACATATTATTATTTTAAAACTCCTCTCTAGAGGCAGGTCATTTCATGTGTGTGAAGGCAGGCGGTGAGGATAATGAAAGCCTGCCTCCGGCTACCAACATCAGTCCTGGTGTGCCTGCCCATCCACCTCCCCTGGGGCCTTTCTCTGCTTGTGTAAAAACTAAAGACAAAGATGAAAAAAATACACTAATTTCAAGCTGTGCTGGGAGCACACATACACTCGGGCATGAACTGGGAAACTAAGGAAATGAGGCAACTTTCAGGACCATCTTTGGAGATTCTACAAACAATGAGAAATATATTACTTCAAACTAATGGCAGGCATCCAGAGAGCCCAGCACTGGAACCCTTTAGTCTTCTGGGACTGAAAAGCCAGTTCCTGTTTACTTTTTGCTTTATCTCCTGCTCTGACTTTTTTCTTGTCTTTGACATTTTCTCCAAGCATATGTCTTCATTTTCAGCAAACTATTTTTCCATATTCTCATCTAATCTTTTAGCTTTTCCTGTTCGACTACCTCCAAAGTAAAAACCTTATGTCGTTGTTTACTCTAAGGTTGAAGGAAAAGTCCTTACTCTGAATTTGTTAGAGAAGCATTTAAAAAAAAATAACTCAAATAGTGGTCAAGAAAAAAAGCAATCCTTGATGGCAAGACTCTCCTAACTTCCCTGTCTATATTGTCCTAAAACCAGTCTCTGTGTTTCCATGTCACAAAAACTGAGGCTTGTAAAACCTTCCTTCAAGTGGACACTGTAAAGGTTGTTGCAGAATCTCTGACTTGGAATCTGATGAACAGACTGGACTCTGTGGGTGGTGGTAAAATCTTCTACCCTGATTACTCATGAAGCAGAAATAACTAACCTGTAACAAACTATTTTAATTCTTCTATTTTCAAGGGTAAGTGGAAAACTAGTTTATAGTGAGCATTTGCAGCTACCAGCCATCACAGCCACCACCTTGCCATCACAGCCTTGCCCACTGGGATGCTTGACAGAGGTTTAGTTTTTTTACTAGATATCTCTTTGAGAACTAGTCTCACCCTGGTTGCACTGTCCTACATGCTTTGCATACAGTGGCACTCAATAAATACTGAATGTATCCCCTTATTATCCATCATGTGCTTTGCATGCAGTGGGCACTCAATAAATACTGAATGTATCCAGCTTATCCATCATTCAGTCTCTCTGGGTCTCAGTTTCCTCTTTGTGAAATGAAGGTATTGGCAAATGATTGCT